CGCCCGGCTAGTTTTTTTTGTATTTTTTAGTAGAGACGGGGTTTCACCAGGTTAGCCAGGATGGTCTCGATCTCCTGACCTCGTGATCCGCCTGTCTCGGCCTCCCAAAGTGCTGGGATTACAGGCTTGAGCCACCATGCCTGGCCGCCTCAATTTTTTAATAAGGCAGATTTAAAAATAAATATGTGCATAAATAAAATTTTAAAACAAAACCAGAAAAATGATAGATGAATTTTCATGATCAAATTTACTAAAAAGAATATGGCTTTAAAAGATGAGTCTAGGCCAGGCACAGTGGCTCACGCCTGTAATCCCAGCACTTTGGGAGGTTGAGGTGGGTGGATCATTTGAGGTCAGGAGTTCGAGACCAGCCTGGCCAACATGGTGAAACCCCATCTCTACTAAAAATACAAAAATTAGCTGGGTATGGTGGTTGGCGCCTGTAATCCCAGCTACTTTGCAGGCTGAGGCAGGAGAATCGCTTGAACATGGGAGGTGGAGGGTGGAGGTTGCAGTGAGCTGAGATTTGTGCCACAGCACTGCAGCCTGGGCGACAAAGTGAGACTCTGTCAAAAAAAAAAAAAAAAAGAAGAGGAAGAAAAGCGAGTCTAAAAAGGAAACAACTAAATGAGAAATCTGATTATACAATCATAAATAATCATAATGGATGAGAAAAGTGAAAAGCAGTTAAAACACTTATTTGATCAGAGGAACTTTACGAGGAGGCCAGAAAGTAGGGTGAGTTTAATTTTCTTATATATTGTTTTCTCTATTTTCTAAAAATTTCTATGGTGACTATGGCTTTTATAAAATAAACAGCTTTCCTCCAAGGATTTGTACAATAGAGAAAGGGATGGCAAGTAATTGAGAAGAATGTTTAGAAGCTAGGATAATTCTTTTAAAAGTAGTATCGCTTGGACTAAATATCTGCTGGTGATGAGGCATGGAGGAAAAAATGCTAAAGATAACAAAAGTTATTTTGGTTACAGTTCAGTGCAAGAACATGAACAGGAAGAGGGATGCACAGTGATCATGGATGATGCAAAGGAATTGGAACCTCTGAACTTCTGTTTTGCTTCCATCTAGAAAAATGGAGTTCAATCAGTACAAAGTAAAACATACACAATTAAGAAGTCATTGAAATGGATGAGAATTTATTGAGAGCCCTTGACTTTTCTAAATGAGTTTAAAGAATTTTAGAGAGATATGCTCTTTAAATTATTGGAATTGGTAATCTAAATAGTAAAAGATGAAAGAGAATGTATCCAGGAAACTCCGTATGAGTTGATACTTGGCAAAGTCTTAAATAAATATGGAAGATTTGTTAGCACCTAAAAAAGAAAGCTCCAGTCACTGGAAACTGGCTTGCATTTATTGAATCAACTTACATCAAATTACTCTAATTTGTGAAATATTTAGAAGGGCTCTAGGGTTAAGAAATTTTGGCAGTCTCTCAAATTCATAGAAACAGTGTACAGTTGACCCTTGCACAACACAGGTTTGAATTATATGGGTCCACTTTGAAACAATTGGAAAAACTCAAAGATGAACCATATAGCCTAGAAATATTGAAAAAAATTAGGTAAAAGGTATGCCATGAATGCACAAAATATATGTAGATATTAATCTATTCTATCATTACTACCACGAAATATACACAAATCTATTATAAAAAGTTAACATTTATCAAAGCTAACACAATTACAGACCATGCATGACACCACTTACAGTTGAGAGAAATTTAAACAAATATAAAGATGCAGTGTTAAGTCATAACTGCATAAAATTAACTGCAGTACATACCGTACTACTGTAATAATTTTGTAGCCACTTCCTCTTGCTATTACAGTGAGCTCAGGTGTTGTAAGTATCTGCCTAGAATGCCACAAATTGCATATTGCAGTAAAAATGATCTCTCATGGTTCTCAAGTATTTTGAGTATTTTTCATTGTGTTTAGTGCAACACTGTAAACTTTGAATAACACCATAGGACCCATGCAAAGTACCATGAGTGATATTGGAAGTGCTCTCAAGAAGCAGAGAAAAGTCATGACTGATGACATTACAAGAAAAAGTTGAATTGCTTGATATGAACTGTGGGTTGAGGTCTGCAGCTGTGGTTGCTCACCACTTCAGACAGATGGGGATCTTGCGAATTTACCATATTGATAAATACAGTACAAGACTATAATGTATTTTCTCTTCTTTATGATTTTCTTAATAACATTTTCTTTTACGTAACTTACTTTATTATAAGTATAATCTTTTATGTAGCATATAATACATGTAAAATGGAAAATATGTGTAAATTGACTGTGTATGTTATTGGTCAACAGACTGTGAGTTAAGTTTTTGAGGAGTCAAAAGTTACATGCAGATTTTCAACTCCATGGAGGTCAGTACCCCCAACTTCCATGTTGTTCAAGGGCTAACCGAAGTTTATTTCATCAAGAGTTTAAAAATGGCCCTTCTGCGCAGTCACGCCGAGCCAGCGCCTGGGCCTGGAACAGGGCCGTAGTCCCCCAGCTTCACCCACCACCTCTCTACCATGGACCCCCGCAAAGTGAACGAGCTTCGGGCCTTTGTGAAAATGTGTAAGCAGGATCCGAGCGTTCTGCACACCGAGGAAATGCGCTTCCTGAGAGAGTGGGTGGAGAGCATGGGGAGTAAAGTACCACCTGCTACTCAGAAAGCTAAATCAGAAGAAAATACCAAGGAAGAAAAACCTGATAGTAAGAAGGTGGAGGAAGACTTAAAGGCAGACGACCCATCAAGTGAGGAAAGTGATCTAGAAATTGATAAAGAAGGTGTGATTGAACCAGACACTGATTCTCCTCAAGAAATGGGAGATGAAAATGCAGAGATAACGGAGGAGATGATGGATCAGGCAAATGATAAAAAAGTGGCTGCTATTGAAGCCCTAAATGATGGTGAACTCCAGAAAGCCATCGACTTATTCACAGATGCCATCAAGCTGAATCCTCGCTTGGCCATTTTGTATGCCAAGAGGGCCAGTGTCTTCGTCAAATTACAGAAGCCAAATGCTGCTATCCGAGACTGTGACAGAGCCATTGAGATAAATCCTGATTCAGCTCAGCCTTACAAGTGGCGAGGGAAAGCACACAGATTTCTAGGCCACTGGGAAGAAGCAGCCCATGATCTTGCCCTTGCCTGTAAACTGGATTATGATGAAGATGCTAGTGCAATGCTGAAAGAAGTTCAACCTAGGGCACAGAAAATTGCAGAACATCGGAGAAAGTATGAGCGAAAACGTGAAGAGCGAGATCAAAGAAAGAATAGAACGAGTTAAGAAGGCTCGAGAAGGGCATGAGAGAGCCCAGAGGGAGGAAGAAGCCAGACGACAGTCAGGAGCTCAGTATGGCTCTTTTCCAGGTGGCTTTCCTGGTAGTTTTCCCGGAGGAATGCTTGGAATGGGAGGGGCCATGCCTGGAATGGCTGGAATGCCTGGACTCAATGAAATTCTTAGTGATCCAGAGATTCTTGCAGCCATGCAGGATCCAGAAGTTATGGTGGCCTTCCAGGATGTGGCTCAGAACCCAGCAAATATGTTAAAATACCAGAGCAACCCAAAGGTTATGAATCTCATCAGTAAATTGTCAGCCAAATTTGGAGGTCAAGCGTAATGTCCTTCTGATAAATGAAGCCCTTGCTGAAGGAAAAGCAACCTAGATCACCTTATGGATGTCGCAGTAATACAAACCAGTGTACCTCTGACCTTCTCATCAAGAGAGCTGGGGTGCTTTGAAGATAATCCCTACCCCTCTCCCCCAAATTCAGCTGAAGCATTTTACAGTGGTTTGCCATTAGGGTATTCATTCAGATAATGTTTTCCTACTAGGAATTACAAACTTTAAACACTTTTTAAATATTCAAAATATTTAAAACAAATTTAAAGGGTCTGTTAATTCTTATATTTTTCTTTACTAATCATTTTGGATTTTTTTTCTTTGAATTGGGCAGGGAAGATATGTATGGAAGATTATTGCTCTAATTTGAGTGAAATAAAAGTTATTAGTGCGAGGCAAACATAACTCATTTGAGGATAAAAAAAGAGTTTAAAAATGTTTTTTAGTTGTAGAAATTTTCAAACAAATACAAGATGAAGAGAATAATATAATAAACCATTATATACCCATTACCCATCATCACAAACTATCAATAGTCAGATTTTTTTTGTTTCATCTGTCACTTTTCTCCCAACCATACCTTTTTGTTGTTATTGGACTATTCTAAGCAAATCTCAGACATTATATCATTTTACTTGTGAGTACTTCAGTATGAAAAAAATGTATAGCAGAGTCTTTCATGATATGTTTAAAGATGAGTTGGAGAAATAGAGATTGGATAAGAATGAACTAAAAGGATTGGTACTAACATGAACCATGGCCAAATCATGTTGATAAATAGTTTGAAATCTTCCTTAAAGAAAGGTGGTAGGGAAATATCCACAAGATTCTGTCCTTGTTGTTGTCTTACATGGCACGATTTATCAATGACATGGGACCGAAAATTTAGAAAGCATGCTTAGCAGATTTGCTAACAGTACATAGCTTTTAGTGAGACTGCAATGTATTACATAAAAGGGTCAAGTATCATCAGGCTGGAAAAACGAGCTGAAACCGTAGGTTGACATTTAATTGATACACACAAGGTGAGATTCCTGACTTGGAGGCAGTTCATGTGAAGATCTGTAGGTTTTACCAGACCATAGCCCTCAGTATGAGTATCTAAAATGATGAGTCATATTTAAACAGTGTTAATTAATGTTTAGTTTCCAGATGAAGGGCTATAATAACTTCACTATTAACTGCTGTATTCAGTTCAGAGCAATGCAATTTGAGAGGGACATTACAAACTGAAGGGCATCTAGTGGAGGGTAATTAAGGTGACATAAAATCTGAAAATCACGATATGTGAAGAATGGTAAATGGAGCTTGAGCTATTTAGCCTGAAGAATAGGGGACTTGAGGATGGGGTCTATATACTGGCAACCCTTGAGGACTTGAAAAACAAATTTTTAATGAAGTAAACAAATTCTAACTTGCTTTGTAGCTTTGAGCTGGGATCAGAGAGTGGAAGTTAGAATGAAACAGAACTTGGGTCGAGATAGATTGCTAACAGTTAGACATGTCTGGCAATGGCTTGGACTATGTAGATTTGCACTTCTGTCCCATCAGTGGAGAATTTTACTGCAGAGGGTAAATACCCATCTTTTAAACAGGATTGCCACTTGGAAGGAGTTGGACTAAGTCAGAGGTTCACAAGGGGAGAACCTTGGCTATACATTAGAATCACCTGGCAGGAGGTGGGGGTGTTAAAAATGAACAGTGCCTGGTCCCCATGCCAGAGATTCTGATGCAATTGCCCCAGGCAGGACTACAGAAAGTCCCAGGGAACTCCAGAGTGCATGAACTCTAAGGATCCTTTCAACTTTGAGATTTTTTTTTTGGTCCGAAAAAAAGAAATTGTGTTCATGGGGGCTATTTTAGAAGCCAGCATGGTGGAAAACCTGAAGATGACAGTGAAGTCAGGTACAAAACTGAGCTCAGGGGAGGAAAGAGAATTGCTTAAGAGAGACTAAAAGTGCCAGAGCTTACGAGGAGACAGCGCAGCTTAGAGGAGAGGGTGCCTTGCATAGTTAAAAAAAACATCAAAAAAAGTGTGACTGAGTGGGAATGGTATGAGAAGAAAGCGCAGCTGAAGAAGATGGGAGTGTCCATCTGACAACCCACCCTGGTTTGCCTGGGACTGAGAGGTTTCTTGGGATGCAGCACTTTCAGTGTTAAAACCAGGACAATCCCAGGGAAACTGGGATGGTTGGTCACCCGAGTGCCCCATAGGCCCCTGTCAAAAGACAAAATTACAACAAATTTAGTTTAAACATCTCAATAGGCTTTATTGCGATTTTAGAATTGGACAACACTTCATTCCATAACATAGAGTAAGTGTTCCAATGAGTTGACCAGATGCGGCAGGCTTTCTAGACAGAGAAAGGGCTGAAGAAAGCAGAAACAAAGAACAAAAAGTAGATTGGTCATTTCAAAGTTACTTTCATTGTGGGGATAGGGAGATAGAAAGATGGAAAGATAACTGATTGGTTAACATCAGGTTACTCTGTTGTAAGAATTAAAACAGAGGGAACTTCATGATTGCCAATTGAAGACTGAAACTGGCCTGTTGAGAAATTAGGCTGTTGCCTCTCTCTCCTGATTTCACAGAAGGCCAGATAACAAACTCAAGGTTTGGAGAAGCAGAATCTTAGATAAGTGACTCTATTTTGGTTTTTAGTCTGGTCTGTTGGGGCCTAGTGCAGGAGTTTAGTCCAAAACAGTGGCCTCCTATAATTTTTGTTTAACACCCAGCAATGAAGGCAACACGGGAAACCATTTGTTATCCTAGTCACTCTTCCTGCAGAATAAAGATGCGCTCTGCATTCATCTGAATTCATGGCTTTGGTGTGCGTAACTGCAAAGGCTGAAATGTCTCGTTCACTCTGGCTATGTATTCCAATCATAGTACCATGCTTGTGTGCCCAGCATCTTGCGAGGGTACTGGTCTTGGGCTTACTATGCTTTCTTTGGGGTGCCTTGGGATTCCTTACATCATTGTTTCCTCCCAACACCAGCTGAAACCTCCTAAAATGATTTTGAAGCTTGTTTCTTTGAATAGCTTCTTAGCAATTTCCTCACTGCTATTTCAGTTCCCCTCCCACCATTGTGTTAAACAGTCCCAAAAGCAATTTCATTAAACTGGCTGACTTCAAGGATGGTGAACTAGAACTGCTTCTAAAAAGCAGGCTAATAGTGACCGAGGGAATTGTCTAATAAGGAATAGACTGGAGGCCTACTGCCCCTACATAATCTCTTTCTTATAAAAAGAGAAGTATGGATGAGATATGTTGAGTTGTTTATAAAAAAATAATGCAGGGAAAATCCCCCTAAAATTATGGGGAAAAGGCCCCTGGTTGGGCTTTAAGTATAGAGAATAACTTGGGTAGTCTTCACCCACTGTATCCCTAAAAGGCCTCACACTTGCTCTTCACTCTCTTTCTCCCCCTCTCATCCGCCATTAATTAGGGGGTTACTTATGTGTGTTATGAATTAAAGCAGTGGTTCTCAAAGTGTAGTCCCTGAACCTGCAGCAGAGCATCACCTAGCAACTTGTTAGAAATGCAGATGCCCTGACCTCACCTCAGACTTACTGAATCAGAAACTCTGAGGATGGGGTCAAGCAATTGTAATAAGCCTTCCCGGTGATTCTGATGCAGGTTGTTGGTTAAGAATTGGATTAGAGAAACCATGTCTTTAGAAGGTTCTTTAAAGGAGAAGTTGTCCAGGGCCTCCCCTCTGACATGGGGCTGAACAGGAAAGCAGCAAGCAGAAGAAATTTCAGAACTAACCACTGAGCCATGGTGGGTGGTGGTTTGACATTTACGTGACAAGACAGTTAATGTGACAGGAGAGAAAAATGAACAGAGAATTGTGAAATCAAATAGGATCAGAATGATGTCACAGTGGTCAATCCAATTAATTCGTATCATTACAAAATCAGAAAGTCACTAATGACTGTAATTTCTAATATATATCTGCATAAAAGGGCATTGTATGATATGAATTGGATTTTTAAGTGTACTGTATTTTGTTTCATTTTGGAGATATAGCTTTTAGTAAAAACATGTCTAGTAGGTTCTGGTCAATCCTTAATCAAAGCTCTATGTTGACAGGAAAATAGAAACTCATTGAATTTTTAAAAGATGATTTGGTTACTACAGTTTTATTATTATTATTTTTTAGAGTTCTGTGGCAAAGAATCACAGAGGCCAAAAATGTGAAAAAAAGTCATATGGTTTAATGATCTTTGTAATCATAACCCTATCAACCATAGCAAAAACAATAATCATAAGTACAGTTGCCATTTATCCAGTGCTTACTCTGTGCAGACACTGCTAAGTGCTCAGCATGAGGGATGAAGTCACAGATAAGCAGCAGACATGGTCCTTGCCCTCCTACCCAGTGATTTCCAACCCTGGCTGCACATGGCACCAGGGAGCCATTAAAAAATGTCAGTGCCCAGGCCCCCCAACCCCCAAGGGATTCTGATTTAAGTACTTTGAGATGGGACCCCAGAGTTGGCATTTTTACAAAGGTCTCCAGTGAACCTAATGTATACATCCGTAATTGAGGACTGCTCTGGTGAAAGACTTACACATGTAGACAATTCATTATAATAGCCTTAAGTGCTATGAAGAAAAAGCTCAGAGTGCTGTGAAGGGCACCAGTTAGTGTGGGGTTCAGGGTAGGATTTTTTGAGGCATCGTTGAGGAAGTGACTTTCTGCTGGGATCTAGAAGGGTAAATAGAAAATAGCTAAGCAAAGAGGATGGGAAGAAAGTGTTCCAGGCAGAGTACATAAATTGTGCTAGGGCTCTGGGCGGGGACAGCGTAGTGAAGTGAGGGCTGAAAGGGGGCAAACAGTGAAGGAAATATGGTGATTAGAGAAGCTGGAGACCCAGGGAGGGGCCAGAACATACACAACATATGGGCTAGATAAAGGATTGTGTTCTTTCTTATAAAAGTAATGGGAAGCTATGAAGTATTCTAAGTAACTAGTGGACGATGTGATCATATAGACCCTTTGAAAAGATTACTCTGGCTGTAGCTGGAAAGCAGATTGGTGATAGGTAAGAGTGGATGCAGGGGGACCAGTTAGGAGTCTTCTGTGGGAGGGCATGATGATGGGACTAAGAAGACACTAGAGTGATGGAGAGGGTTACATGGCATCAGAATCTTTGGGAGGTTCCAAGACTTGGTACAAAGTCTCAGGGACATTTGCTGAATTAGTGAGTTGCTTGGATATAAAGGGTGAGGGTGGGAAAGGAGTACAGGATGATGCCACTGTTCGTGGTGTCAGTAACTGGATGAGTGGTGGTGTTCACTGAACTATGTGAATGTTGAGTTATGGAAAGCCGGAGGAGAAATAGTTTTGCAGAGGAAAGGAGAGCACGAATTCTGTTTGGGCACAATAGGTTTAAG